AGGTGCGTGTGCGTGCATGCCCAAGATCCCGAGAGGAGAATGGAGGAGAAGGGATTGCGGTGTGACCATCCCCCCGGGGGGTGATTTCTCGCTTTCTGTCTTTATGTCTCTATGTCTCTCTCTGTCTGGCGAGTGCACGTGCCCTATAGTGAAAATCTCTCAAAAAAAAATTTTTTTTTTTTGAAATCCACTCATGACTTTGCCATAATACATTTCTTCCATAAATTTTTTTTTTGGGGGTGGGAGATTTTTGCTATAGAGTGCATGTGCTTGCTAGAGAGACAAAGAGACTGAGAGTGAGAACGTGAGAAATCACCCCCAGGGGATGTGGCCATGACATAGTCTCTTCTTCACCATTCTCCCCCTGAGATTTTGGGCATGGATGCACATGCACCTGGAATGAGTTTCAAGCTGCCAGGTCTGGGACTTGAATGGTGGTCAGCCTTGTGAAAGACCAGTGCCTTAACCACACCACCTATTGGCCCCTTCCATGAACTTTTTGAAGTGTGTGTCTCTCAAAGTTTGCTTATTCTAAAAAAGTTGCATTTTGCTGCATTTCAAACATTCATTTAAGAATTCTCACATGTCGGTGATCTGGTCTCACATGGTGTCCGTAGTCGCCCAGGCTGCCAAGCTCCTCATGGTTAGATGTCTGTCAAAGATGCTGGCTCCTTAAACACGGCCCTTGTTCTCTTTGCCTGCCCCCAGACCATTAGCCGGGCCTTCATGAATGGCAGCTCCGTGGAGCATGTGATCGAGTTTGGCCTCGACTACCCTGAAGGCATGGCTGTCGACTGGATGGGCAAGAATCTCTATTGGGCTGACACTGGAACCAACAGGATTGAAGTGGCCCGGCTGGATGGGCAGTTCCGACAGGTCCTTGTGTGGAGGGACCTAGACAACCCGAGGTCACTGGCCTTGGATCCCACCAAAGGGTAAGAGCTGTTTTTGTCCTTCCTGCAGGTCCTGATCCCCTTCCTCCTCTCTCCATCAGCCAGCACAGACGGTAGTTATGCAGACCACCATTAGCCTTGAAGGTAGCCAAGGCTGGCAGGACCTTTGGAGGTCACCCAGTTCACTCACAGAGGGGAAACAAACCAGAGCAGAAGGAAGGGGTGGAAGCTGCTGTATCAGGCACTGTGCGGACTGCTCTTACCGGGCTGGTACCTCAGTGTGTACAGGAAGCCTGCACAGGGTGGGACATGTGGAAACTGAGGCTCAGAGAAACTAGGTGACTTGCCCAAGGTCGGGTGGCTAGTTAGTGCAGAAC